TTAATCGGAAAACCCCATACAAAGCGTTACGTTGCCGATCAGCTGACATACAATATATTAGGAGGATTTCAAAATTGTCATAAATGTAAAGGCACTTGTCAATCTTTGTAAAAAATGTATGTTGACCAATTTAGAGATGTCATTTTGGTGTTTTGAATGTGCGTTAGATTGTGGTTGTTGTCACATTGACGCATACCCTTTGTCTCTTAATCTTTATATTTAACTGGCAACTTACAGTTTTCTTTCTCAACAGCTTCAACTTTATTCTTAAGAGTTTCGCCATCATTCTTAAAAGCCCCAATTTCATTCGTGATATTTTATCACTCTATCAATAATAGTGTGGTAATCTTCATCTAATAAAAGTCTTTTTTGAAAATGTTCGATCATTCTCCTGATAATGGCCACTTACAGAATTAACGGCACAAACTACAGTGACCGACACAGTAAATAGACATATAATTTCTGCAATGATTGCCATGTTGCAGAAAACTCCCATATTTGAACAGATATTAGGCAATCTGCGTGAACCATAAATAATCAACGATCAAATTTCAAGTGCATTCACTTTAGATATATATAAAAGTCATGATCAATGATAAGTCATACTTGTATACTTGTCCTATTCAGATAGTGCACGGGCATTTTTGTATTTTGGGAAAATTGCTCATAACAGCCTCATACAACTTGTTGATATAAATCAAACATCTGGTTAATTCGGTCATTTGGCTTTGGAGTCTCCCTATCAATATAGTTCCTTTCTTGCAATGAATCCCTATTCGACTTTTCGTTACCTAGTTTTATTTTTTTCCTTTCGTATACTGTGGATTCAATTACTTTCGTGGGTATCAATTTTTGTGGATTGAGGAAACTTGCGTTTTTTCGCGGATTTTTTATTTCTTGGAATTGCCAAAGTCTATATGCATTTCCATAGAGAATTTGTAATTCGATGAACTTTTAAATTCGTGGTTCCCTTGTACCCACGAATCTACGAAAATTGATATCCAACAAACAACTATAATGAATCCACAATATAGTTATAGATCGTTAGCTCATTCTAACGGAACCCATTTTTCCTTTTTGGTTTGATATGCTCATGTTTGTTATGAAGTTCAGGATTTCAATAAACGTAATACAAATGTAATGACATGCAGATAAATAAAAATACTGTTTGAAGTTTTTTAGAGAATACTCATGAAAATACCAAACTTTTAATGATTTTTTGTGCTTTTTACCTTAAAATAGTAACCACTTTTACCAATGGGTACTAATTGTGCACCCCTTCTGGCTGACTTGTTTTTGTACTCGTATGAAGCAGAATTTATTCAGAACCTTCTACAAGACAAAAAGGAAAAGCACCTTGCAAAATTCTTTAATTTTACTTTCAGATATATTGATGATGTCCTATCACTGAATAACCCATATTTCAGTAAGTACTTGCATCTCATATATCCCAGTGAACTTGAAATTAAGGATACTACTGATACAAAAAGGACTGCTTCATACCTTGATCTTTTCCTCAATATTGACACAGATGGACGACTTCACACTAACATCTATGACAAACGGGATGATTTCAACTTCCCAATTATCAATTTCCCATTTCTCAGCAGTAACATACCCTCTGCTCGGTCATATGGTGTTTAAATATCTCAATTGATACGTTATGCTCGAGCATGTTCACACTATACTGACTTCATATACAGGAGTGTGCTCCTTACGCAGAAACTGCTCCAACAGAGTTATGAGGAGGGAAGATTAAAAATGACACTCCGTAAATTTTATGGACACTATCACGAATTAGTCGATCTATATGATGTGTCTGTGTCTAAACTAACTAATGACATTGTTACCACGTCTTAGATTGTGGTTTAACATCTATGTCGTCTGTCTGCTAAGTACCGAACGTGACCTATTCCCGAATATGACTGTTATACCGAGTGTGAATTTGCATTACTATACGACGTGTCTCTGTATTTTGTACATCCAACATTCATGTATTTATTTTTGAAGTTTTGTTTTGTTATGGTTTCGATTGAATAATGTTTTATGTCTTATCATTTGTAGTCCAAATAATTATAAAATTGCCTTTCAATACCATCATTGTCATGAAAATTGTTTGTACGAGTATTGTGAAAATAATTGTATAAAGTTCGAGATTGCATGCTAGTTACGTAAGCGCGTCATTGTTTGTGATATCCTGTGGTGTTTATCGTTGATGGAATATGTTCGTTGTTGTTCTGCGGTTTGCATGTTGTGTCGACTATTTTTTTATATATATTATTTGTTTGTGCGTTTTTCTGTGATGAATGTTTTTGCGTGTGTTTGTGCTGTATTTCTGTCACGTAGTGTTGTCATTTTAGCGATATTTTTTAACATTGTCATAAAGCGGGAGGTTTTACTAGCCATTAAACCAGGTGCAACCCACCATTTTTTCTTAAAATGTCCTGTACCAAGTCAGGAACATGGCAGTTGTTATCAAATAGTTCGTTTCTATGTATGTTGCACTTCAGTGTTCCTGTTGTTCCTTTGTTTTCCTCTTATAGTTGATGTGTTTCCCTCGGTTTTAGTTTGTAACCCGGATTTGTTTTCCCTTAATCGATTTGTAACTTTTGAACACCGGTATACCACTGTTGCCTTTATTTACCGTGGAAACCACAATAGCAACAAAGAAAATAACAAGTTTGTTCGTTATTTTGAGGATAGTTATCAAATAAAAAGAATATGGAACAAATCCATGACTATGCGTGCCATGCCAATTTATAAAATCACGATTATTACAGATGATTGGTATTAAAAGCATAGATATAGATATCAGACATTGGTCAAACCTGCAACCTTATCATTTCAACAAATGTAAGGATTTATTCTGAAAGTATGATTCAACCTGTAGGATTTCATAAAAATTAGAATTCTGTATCTAGATTTTTATTGTTATATTATATATAAAGCTTATAAATTTAAGAATTGTCCTTCAAATCTGTTTCCTTGGTTAAATAGACTTATTGGTAAAGCTTTTAATTAGTCTGTTGTTGTTCAATCACTGCGTCTCGTATTTTTGGGAATTATATATATGAACATTTGCACTTGGAGCTCTTCAGTAGACAGTGCATATGATTGAATGGTAAAAAAAAGTTTCAAAATAGCTGTCTTCATATTGCAATTTGGAATATTCGACAAATTTTTCTATGCGATGCGAAAAATGAAACCCGTTGTCAGTCGTCAGAGTTTTAATTTCAGAAATGTCTAATTAAGGAATGAGAGTTTCGATGACATGTCTCATTGACAATCAGTCTACACCTCCTTATTTCTTAATTTATAATATTCAGTTGATGGACTTTTAGTGTATTATAACACTGCATGTTAATTAACCTTGCTCTGTTCAATAAAATGTTTTGAAAGTACATGTATGCTTTAAATTTAACACTGACTGGCAAAAATATTGTTAATAAAGCTCGTATTGATAAAAGAAATACTAATTAATTTTTGTTTTCAGAAATGATGTACAGTAGACAATAGGAAGGGGTTTAATACTTCAAGTTGTTTCACTCTTATCAAACTGGCTGTCCAATGAAATATATGATAATAGACTGTTCAAAGCTAAACATGTACTATATACTGAATCAGACCATAAGCATTTCTCCCTTATCCGCTGTTAAATTCTGAGAGAAATGCTGAACATAATTTGATTAGTCTCGCCTGTAGTACAGGAGGTCGTGGTTTGGAATCCCGACCGGGTTAAACCAAAAACTTTAAAATTGGTTTTTGCTGCATCTCCTCTAATCACGCGGCGTTTAGGATTAAAAGCAAAGACTGGTCGATTCGGAGTCGAACTAAGGTCACCGGGTAGGATGAAATGTCTCCCTGCGGACTGTTACCTTGTCAACTACCATTTTAAAAGTCAGTGTGTCAGTCTAGTACAAAGCAGGGTTTTTGTTTATATTCATATCACATTATCATGTTCTCGCCTTGAAAAGTAATGTATATGCATTTTATTTTTTCACATGACGTTAAACAGCCATCTATCCACCGCATTCATATGATATGCATGTTTTTCTACTAACTCTAGAAAAATGGGTTGTTTTCCGATCTATTGAATGACCTAGACCCATATATGATCAATTTCGAATAGCTTCTCTTGATATTTAGTTTAATAAGACTCAGGACTATTAAGAGCTTGAACTATTGTGTAACTACCTGTATGTTGAAGACTGTATGTTGCCCTCCAGGTGTCTTTTGGTAATTTTGTCAGTGGGTGGCATAATATCTATGAATATGGGGATATTTGTTCGCAGAATGTTAAATCAAATAAAGAAATCCTAATTCAGTTGTTAGACCTACTGAAATATAAATCTCTCATGCAAAGCGTATCCTTTTTCTATTTTATTTTTATCAAAAGACATTTACGCTAGACGTCTAACCTTGCTATTAATTTATATAACAGTTTGCTCCTATCATGGGAATTTGGATAATCAAAATAATATATTGCATGGAACTTGTCGATAAACTAGTAATGAAACTGTGATTTTCAATTTGTATCATTAAACTTTAAATATTGGTCATGTAATCCGAAAAAGAAAGAATGCAACAAGAAACGTCAGTACAAAAGTAAAGTTTAACTTTAATTTGTACTTGCCGTTACATTTAAGCAACACAACCAGGGCCAACGTTTGAGTAGGACCTACTTAACCTGCAGGAGCACCTGATATCATTCCCCGGTATTTGGGGTTTCTTTGCTCAGTCTTTAGTTTTTTATTAGTGATTTGTAAAATGTTGTTTGTCTTTTCGTCGTTTTTATTTTTTTTTGCCATGGCGTTACCAATTTCACTTCTACTTGAATGAGTATATGTCTGGAAACCAACAATTTTTTGGAATCGATTTATTTACTCGACATTCGCGAATAAGAAATAACGAGAAACAATAAAATGTCGTTAATATGTCTAACTGATGTAAAACTATATTAATCTAATATGAATACATCAAAAAGTAAGAAATGGCGGAAATAAAACGCTGCAAAATTTGGATAGACATTGCTAAAGGCGAAAGAAATATTTGGGAAAATAAGCTGGTTTTTAGAAATTCTTCCTAGAATAAACAAGAACGTTGTACATACTAACTTAGAACTCTTTTCTTGGATGCCTGACTCCTTATCAGAGTTCTGAAGGTCTACCACTAAGCTTACGATGCATTTATAGCCATAGTTTTCTATCAGGGATGCCATATCTTGCATAGGTGATATATAAATCAAAATCCTAAACAATTCTTTAGATTTTTTATTCGAATTTAAAGAGCTCTTAGAAGGACGCCAGAAAATGAAGGAAATCCGTAGGCCGAAGCACTTAGTAGATAATCTCCCTGAGATTTATGTTGAACAAAGACGTCATCACCTGAAGAAAGTTGTATCAAGAAAGTCTTAGAGCTACATTCATCATAACCAGTATCGCCAGCCAAGACCTTCCCAACCACACTGGTGTTGACAGTAAGTTCTAGAACTACGTAATGATTCGCAGTCGAACATGCTGTTATTGAGAACTGGTAGAGACCGTTGACTGAGGCGATGAAGTTTCCATGAGACGGATAGTAGGCGTTCCCAATGTTTACTTTAACTTGATCGAAATGGATTTGGTGGTTTTGGCCGGAAACGGTCTTGGTCAGTTCTGCAAGAAACGCAATCGGCGAATGTCTCAGCAAAGCTGCAAAAGAACAGGAAAATCATTGTTGAAATGTCGATTTAACGTACTAGATTTCTCTTGCTTCCAATTAAATAACAGCCAGACCACCATAGAGGTCTTTTTTTCAGCGGCTGTTGAAATTGAATTGATGTAGATTGAAAAGCGAAAGAAATCATCCTTCATATTTTCCCCATTTAAATCAAAATATTATATCAACATGTGAATTGTATAAGCGAATAAAGATCTACTCTTCCGAAAAAAAAACCCAAACATTTAACTATCTGTATGTTATTTAAAATAATCATAAATGCATTCATTCGATTGACATTTTAACATCTTTTTTATCCAATATTGCAAATGTTATATGCATGCTGCTATAATATGTTGCATTCTAGAACCAACTAGAATTTGTTTGAATTTTAGCTAAAATCGCAAAATCAGGGTAGTGCTTCACTATCATCTACAACCCAAATTAAAGGCTGATTGAACGAACGGACCGACAAGTGCATCGGCAATCTAATCAAAACAAGGATCTCTGATTTTGCTATGGAATGTAAACATACCGCTTACCATTTTCCTTTTTAAGAGCTTCGACCTCTTTTGTAAGATTATCCAGTCTACTCATGATAGTGTAATAGTTTTCATCCATCAATAGTCTTTTTGAATTGTTTTGCTTATCCACATGATGATTTTGGACTCCAGCATCAGCAGTGTAGACTACAAAAAAAGACAGAATATATATCCAGTTAAATAATGAAATAATTACCATGTTACAGAAACCTGTCATATTGTAACAATTTCCTGCAAAACAAATCGGTCAAGAATAGTGATAAAAATAATACCACTAGTAGATAAGGATTGTAAATTATGTAACTACATTAGTATGTTATCTAGACAAATGGAGTTTTAGACAGACCACCTATATTTTGGACAATATAAATGCATACGAATATCAAAAACGTAATGACTCGTAAATATTCAGCAATTATTAAACTTACGTACTCAAAATAAATGTTATTTATAAGAATTTTAATCAGACCTAGAAATTTTAAGTATCATATCGGCAAGTTTCAAGCAAAAAATGTCGATGTGAATGACCTTGAGAGTTGTTCGCTGAAGAATCTAAAAATATGTACTACCGGGTACTGTGCTTATTTGAACTTGATTCCCGTTAGTTTTAAAACCGTATTTTGGTTCTTTCATGTTTTTGTGTTTAGTGTGGCGTCCATTTCGTAAAACTAGTATACATTATTGTTTAGGGGCCAACTGAATTTTCTCGCTGCGTTGAAGACACATCGGTGTCCTTGGGCTGTTTTCTGCTCTTTGGTCGGGTTGTTGTCTCTTTGACACATTCGCCGTTTCCATTCTCAATTCTAGTGTAGAAACATGTTTAAGATCTATAAAATAATTTTCATGATTTGTACAGTGTCCATAATGCATTGCAACCGATTTCAGTATGCAAGACGAGTGTTTCGATGTAAATGTATGCTCGAGACCAAACGTTTTGTCAAACACAAGACTCTTATTTCTTTGACTATACTGCTTTTTTTTTCTCTCAATAAATTAAGTTTATATAATTACTATTGAGCTTTATAATACTATAATGTGTTTAAGCATTAACTGTACAAAGCATTTAACTCGTTGTGTAGGAGTAATAAATAATTCAAATTTAAATGAATAGTGCTTTGCTTTTATGCCAATTGGCATTTCATTTGCGCCAAAAAAAAAATTATTTCAATTGGACCAATAAAACAGGCAAATAGAATAAATCATACATATATTAAACAGTTAAAAAGTATGAATGATAGATATATTATATTAATGATGAATCACTGTGATCATAAAACCACAGTGAAAGCACTATACACTGAAGTCTAATTATAAGTCTGTTCTGTCCTTTAAAAAAACCTTGTCCATGAATCTCATTTTTATATACGTTGTTGTATGCGTCCCCGCCTGAATATTTCGATAATGTTACCTCAAAAACATTTTCGCCTCGCTCCGCTCCGCTAAAATTTAAGTTTGCGCCCCCCCTCTAACCTACAATCCTGGATCCGCTCCTGTGTACTATTCTATTTTTCGCGCAAATCAATATATCGGCTACATTGTAGAATATAATAAAGTTCATTTTCTATCACACATAAACCACAATACATACAATTCCTATCTTTCCTATGAATACTAACAAAACGTCCAGTTTCAATACAAAGGTTATGCGATAAAGTCTCCCATCCTAGTAATACACTTGCGAACAAAGTACAACAGGACAATATATCTGTAAGTTAAATTGCAAAACTACATTTTTACCTTTAGTTATTAATTTACAGTTATCACTAACTAAAGTTTTGAACCAAATTTAAGTGTGCAAAAATTCATACTGAAACGTTAATCTATCTAATTCGAAATAGAGCATTATTTTCATGGACTTGGTTATTATTTTAGGTCCTTTTTGGTCACATAGCTCTTCGACTGTTTCGGTTCTTATACAACATTGGCTTTTAAATATTCGGCTTCGAGCGTTCTTGGTGAAGATAAATCCAGAAAAGCGCTTCGGATGCATAACATTTATAAAATGTTGTTTTTTTTTTTATTTACAGAAGCCCTAATGAACCTTTTCTATTGGAGGTGCTTTGTGTACTCCGCATATCTCATAACCATACATTAACATACGACTAACAGGGGCGTAGCTGGACTTAAATAAAGTGCAATCATAACTATCGGCGAGCGAAGCGAGGCGAAAAATTTTTTTGGACCATTTTATGCAGAAAATGATAACTTTTTTCGGGCATTTTCCCGGTGTGCCATGCTTATGAAATATACATAACTCCTTCACGCCCAAACTCCTATTTTGTGAATACCTGTGGATTTTATAGTGATTCGGCAAGGGAGGAGGCTATGGACCACTCAAAGTCCCCAGCTGGTCCAGGGTAGCACTCTAGTCGGGGATCCAGGACAGCACCGTAGACGGTGGTCCAGGGAAGCGAATCCCCACGAAGCTCCGGGCATATGAGTAATTACAGTGACTGCTTTGAACATGAAAAATACCCTATCTGTTTCTTACTATACCATATTTTCATGAAACGATAGTAAAAGTCTAGTGAGTTCCGTAATTTGCTGCTTATATTATTAACATGGTTATTTTCAAATATAAAATAAATTTTATAAAACGGGAAGATCAGGAAGAGTCGACAACCGAAGCGTTAATCAATGGACAATTGACAAACCCAGGAACAGATAAGACACAAAAGGAGAAACAAAAAAAATCAACATTGAAAACTAAATACAGATGAAAAACACGGACCCAGAAAACCCGTGCTCCGGAAGGGTAAGCAGTTCCTGCTTCTGGCAAGACATCCGTAGTGTTTCTCACGAAGGTCATTCTCAAATCAAAGGAGAGGTTTCTACAACAACGGTAGGTCATTTGGGACACAGTTGCCCCAGGTAAATTAATAGTCTTTTGGGCGAACGGACAATTGGAATACGAATCTAACGGCCACTTTTAAGTCTTGACTTATAAGTTAGGGATATAAATCTAAGATGTTTTCAAGGTGATTGTATTGAGCCTGTATTATTAAATGTTATTACTGCACGTAAGACTTAAAGTGTAGTTAATATCGAAAGTCCATATATCTATTTTTTGCCAAGGCAAATGATCGCAGAACTCACTCGGTGTTGAATTCCATTTCTTTGTGAACATGTATGAGCGCCAACGAAGATAGTCTGTCCTGTACCATGGTTGAACGGAGATAAGTTTTCGGTCTCCGTAATGCACTAAATGACTGTTCAGTAGTTGATGTAGTTATACTGGCATTGTAACTAGAATTGAGAAGATTGCGAATATTGAAGGATATAGCTCCTTATTAGTCACTGCTAGAGACGACATCAGAGATTTGGGCTTCAAACACCGCCCGACACGATAATGGCTGTAAAGGATAAAGACTATCCGTAATTCAATTTCAGAAATTTTTTTTTGTGAAAAAAATGTGCAAGCAAATGATTTTTTGCGTAAAGGCAGCTACGCGCCTGACTAACATAACTGAGTATCACACAATGTTAAGTGTATCTGAACATAGCGATGGAGAATTAATCGTCATCTAGAACATTACGACTGGCAGCAAGATAAATAACACTATCATGGCTGGAAATCTTTTTTAATTTTTAATTACTTCTTTTAAATGATTTTATTATTTTCCGTTAACATTATGTATTTTGATTAGCATAACGCTAGGACAAATACACTTATCGTCAAATGATTTTAAATTAAGTTTCAATCTAAAAATAAAAACGTACACAAAATCTCAGGTAAACCCGGTATTGGTTATTTCGCAAGTTATAACTAAGATAGCATTCCTTACAAAAAGTCATGTGAGGTATATCATATTGGAAGTGGTAAATTTCGTAATACCAAAGAAGTGTGTTTATCACAAGACTATCACAAGACTCCTAGAATCAATAAAAAAGCGGAAGTAAATTATCCGGCATTGGTTATTACAGAAAAAAATGGAAGAGCACACAATTGCTTTCGTTTTGTCCTTGCTTGCTTATGCTACAGCTACAACACAAGCATGTAGTTTTCCAGTACAAATGCAAGGGTTTGAAGGGATATCGATGGGATATCTAATAAATGGCACTGGAGGTGCAGTCGAGGTATGTAAATAAATATCTAAGCTATTTTTATCCAAAGTAAATGTTAGTAGTATGAGTAGTCACTACAATCAGCCGGATTGATAACAATTTTGGCATGCAGTTCTGGTGGGTAAAATTTCATCAAAGATACCATGTTTATGATTTAATACTCCAGATTCGATATTCTTAGATTCTGTTATTCGCCTACACTGAGTCGTCTTTAATGTACAGGGCACGGAGTAATTTCATTGATATTCTTATGGTCTGCGTGTAGACTTTTCGTAATCTTAACTTTACGTACACAACTCTTGCATCTCGGAATAAAAAAAATTTCACCTCTTCTGATTTAGGTCGAAATATTTATATTCCACTGGACTGTCTTTGTTGCTTTTTTGTTATGCTGATTTATGTATTTGCAATCGATATCAAATAAATGTCATTCAATAGATAATAGAAAACCATATTACTTAGACAAATACACGTCAACCATCGACAAAATGGTCCTCTGGTCTTGGTAGGGATTTTGATAACGACAGGGTTAAAGGTTTTATTCAAACATTATCACATGCCTTCATAATTATTTCAATATATCGACAGAAAATGATAAAGTTGATTACATGAAAACTTAACAAAAAGGTAGATTCTACTGGAGCACCAGAGCAGAGGCGGATTTAGGGGGAGGGGAGAGGTGGGGAGGCCCGGCTCCACTTATTGAGCTAAATTTATGGTTAATCCAGACTTTTTTCCTATTCCACTCCAAACTTTGTCTAGTTTGGGGCCCCCGGGCCCCCCTTTTTCAAAATTCTGGATCCGTATCTGCTGAGTTCAACCCCAAGTTTCGCTGCATGAATTTCGTGTTACTAATCAAAGTGTTATTGGGACTGTAGTTTGCCTTTCGTATATGTTATACTGGCTATGGTGTTGAATGCTTTTCTTCGACTTGTGGGTTTTTAACTTCAGTTATGAACACTGTGCCAAAGTTCAGTTTTTATGTATCTTTGTTTGACAGAAAACTTTGATATGTGTGTATGTACTTTTATAATAAAACCATTGTCATTATACTATTTTAGCGTTATTATAATTATTTGACTTTTACCCCCGTTGTGCAGTTGTAATTTCATGATGTATTGTCCCAGCGCGACGTGTTGCGGGGGACATAGAAAACTGGACTACCGTCCGTCCGTGCATCTACGAGTACGTCCGCGCGTCCATGCGTCTGTCCTTCCGATCTTGTTAGCGCTTTCACGTGTACATTTCTTGACAGATTTTTATAAAATTTATATCATAGGTTTCTATCATCAAAGTGTGGGACAAGTTCGAAAATCATTGCATTGTAAGCTTTCCCAAGCCTTCATTTCTGTAAGATATGTACAAAAAGTTTGAAAAACAAGAAGAAAACAAGGTTTTAGAATGTATTGCCCTTGGACAGATAAAATATGTGCAACGCGGGGGATATTGGAACTCTGTTTTTATTTATATATCATTACCATATTTAACTTTTATCCGTATTGCGACATGTGTGTGTGTGCGTGTGTGTTTGTGAAGTGTATCGTTTTTACTGACTTTATTCTTTTTCAAATTCTCTTGTCGGTGGAAATATCGAGCCAGTATGGACAGGTAGTTCACGGTTGTTTTTTTTCAAATATATTTTTGAATAAATCTAAACGTTCTAGCCCACAAGATATCAGTCCGCAGGACGACGTGTCACCTTACACGGACATGTTAATCTGTTTGATAATGAAATATTAAGTTATGAAATGAGAGGAGATTAATATATATTGCAGACTACGTGAAGTAAATCAAAGTTATTTATCTGGTTTGTGTTAAACATTTTCAGGTATACAGTTTTCAACCGACTATCTCTTGTCAAAGATGCAAATCAAAATATGAAGAAGATTTAACTGTATTTGCGCCGGTATCTTTTATTTGATGTTAATTAAGATACGTGCGATCACCATACTCACCAAACTCAGAATTATTCAGTTAGAAGTTACACTATTACCAGTTAATTGTAGAAAATGTTTATCCATCGAAAAAAAATAACTCTATTTTAAAATAAGCCACAAAAAACTATCAACGATAAAATCATACTAAGTCGTGTGATGGTTGATTTAAGTCCTAAAGTAGCAGTTTGTTTTTTCTCACTAGGAATCGCCTCTTTTTCGATTCTACTCTTTAATACTGTTTAATAGAGAAACAGCAAATATACATAAGTATTATATATTAGGTGTTTGATCAGACTCGTTGAGGATAGAATCCGCAACCTGTAGGCTCGAAGTCACAATAATATGTCTGGGAAAAGTGTCATGTCTTCTTGTAGACGTTTATCACGTGAGCTAGTCCATTAAAAATCCGGCTCAGTTTGTCGGTCACGTAAATAGCATTTTTCAAATTGCAATCCTGAATAGCATGATATATCTACTGCTGGACGTTAAAGAGTCACAAATCGATGTTGTTATTTAGTCAATACATTACAATCACTTAATTTGATATTTTCTTATTATATTCTAGGGAGGGTTTCAGATTGCCTATGATGTAAAAAGACAAAAATCTGTTATGATTGGAGAAGGACAAAGCATGGGATCCCTCTTTCACGAACATGTTCTCGATGATTATGCAAATGTAAGAAATAGCATCTGTGCTTAATTGTTTGAGGAGGTCATACAATTTCAGATATCTATATGAATTAAGCATTGATTTGTTTTAATTTGTTTCATTTCCTTTTTAATATCAGACCAAATAAAATGTTTCATTTATATTTATTTCAATATAAGGCTATTTTTTACGTTTGTTCAAGTCAAAAGTAATGCCTTTATATGGCTATGAAACCGTATTTGTATTTTTCAGGTTGACCATCTAACTAAATTCTCACAGCGTAAAGGGAAACATACGTTACAGTTCACCACATTTTAATTGAACATCATTAGTGTCCTTCATTTATACCTAAAAACACTTGGACACGTCCACAAACCTGAAAATCTTAATTAAACTCAAATTATAAGAATGGCCAAATAATCTCGATATCTATTTCTTTCTAAATACTATACAGGCTTAATTCAGTTGAAAAAAAAGAAAGGTATACAGTCTAAAAATACATGTTCACGAATGAAAAATCACCTCCCTTTTGAAGGTTTTTAAGACCAAATATTCATATTACCTCTTTCTATTGTATTTTAAAATGGAATCTGACACTATCATTTAGCATCTGAAAATACGTCGACTACATTTACGCTGATTTTACCAATTATATTGCAGGAAAAAGAGTATGTTGTTTTGAATGGCAAATGCACCATTATGCCTCTGAAACGTAAAATGTTGACTGGAATTCCAAGTGAGTAGATGTATACTTAGTATTTATTTACTTGCCAAATATTTCATTACAGAATTTTAAAGGAAAAGTATGAAAAACAAATAATTCCTTTCTATATTTACACTATAGTGGAGCAGGAGCTGCTTATCCTTGACATTGTTTGCGTTTGCACGTATACAGTGAAACCTGTCTAAACCGAACCTCTTCGGGACTTAAAATTTTGTTTGGTTTTGGCAGATGTTTGGTTTTAATCAGGTTCACAAAATTTGATATGATTGGACTTCAAAACATGTTTGGTTTAGACAGGTTTTATGTGTATTCAAGGCGCGGTTTAGACAGGTTTCCGACGCTGTATTTATATTTTTGTATGTACTCATCTCCGATGTTTATGACTGTAATTTAGGCTTCAAGAATACTCAATGACATGCTTTCATTTATAACGTTACTTTATATAAATAGCTATTACGAAATAATTTTATTTTACATAGGCGATGCAAAAAAGATTATGTCGTCGTATTATGGATTTGATGATAAGAAGATTGGTATCGACATGTACTCTTTCCCATACGAAGGATCCCAGATAACTATCTCTGTAATGAAAGAGGGATGTGTTCCCGTTGGAGAGCACATCACAGGAAAATCATTCCTGCTTGACGTCGGATTTTTGGGAATGACCAGTGGTGTCAAGAACGCCACGGTCTTTGACATCCCTAAACCGTGTCAGAGATCAATGCCACTGCGTTTCTTAGAACACAATGTAGGTACATTTAGCTTTAGACTTAACATTTATAAATGTTTCAGACAAATATTTTAAACTATAATGTGTTACTAAATTACTTCATTGGATATTTACATGTGCTACAAAAATGAGATTTTGAGGGTTATTACATCACTGTATATTTCGAAAATGCTCACATCAGCCTACTTTCGCCGTAACAACGCTTCATATACATTACAGACGGTTTTCGATGAAAAGTTTATCCATCAAATCAAATAACAATTTACATATCTAAAAATCGTCGGGGCTCGTATTTGTACTATTTTAAGTTTGTTGAAAAGGCGAGTTGAATGCTATCATCCATTAGAACTTGCTTGTAGTTGCAGAGGTCGATGTATAAAACAAACCTGTGCGGGTATTTAATTTAAAAAAAGAAAGAAATTTAGGAACAGCTTTTGGAATTGTCATAGAAGATTTACATGTATGCTGCAATTAGGCAGCTATTGTACAAATAGCAGGAATACAAACAAACTACCCCATTATCTTGTTTCCATGGTAAGCGAACGGAAGCGTTCAAATTATTGTTTACACAGTTTATTTTGGGCGATCCGCTTTTGAGCCATGTCGATTTTTCTAGGAAATTCAAAGAAACGGTTGAGAAGTAAAAACGTTAAATAAAGTGTCAAGGTTGAATGGCAAGACAAAAACTATATATTTTACATTTTCGGAAAATGTAATGTTCTTTTACTCGCTATGAGTCTCGCTTTATGTTGTTTCTAAAGCTCGTATAAATGAATGTTATGTCGTCCAACCATGTACACATATGTAATATATTGAATGTGTAATGCGTGATGTCCATCATGTACAAAATTTACACATTTCTATAATTTGTAAATATTTGTTTCGCCGACTATTAGACTTTTTAATACGAAACTAAGTGATCGACATCGTTGTAGTCAATTTGCATGAATTAAGTGTAAATATATGGGAAGTAAAATCTATTCCATTACACAAGGACTACACAGAGGAAAACTTTTAAGTAAGAATTATGTAGTCATAATCTTCTTTTTTTGCAGAAGGGAAGAAAGACCCAAAACATTTTACCACCTCAGACATTATACCAATATCAGTCCTCTCGAAAACTAGAAATAGTTATGAATGAAAGGAGATAGGGGTATACGCCAATGAGACAGCAATCCTATTACACAATAAAACCAATAAGACATGTAGTCTTACAGATTTACATAAAACCTTCAACAAAAGACAATGTGTCAATATTTGGGTGACCTACATTTGCGCAAATTTGAATTTTGACAGGATTTACGTTTGCGCAAACAACTGGTATTACGTTTGCGTGAATCAAAATTGAGAATGGAAACGGGGAACGCGTTAAAGAGACAACAACCCGACCAAACAGCATAAGGCCACCAATGGGTCTTCAACACAGCAAAAATATGAAAACAACACGTTATAAATTTCATGTGTCCGAAGCGCTTTTCTGGATTTACCTTCATCAGGAACGCTCAAAGTCGAATATTTGAGAGCCAAGACGTATTAGAAACTATACAGTTGAAGAGCTATATGACCAAAAAGTACCTTAAAAATAGCCAAATCCGTCTAAGGTCAACTATATCTGAGGGAGTTGAAACCTTAGTTTATTTTTAATTTCAAAATTTATAAACGGACAATTTTAGGAAGGTTTTGTTATAAATCATGTCAGTACCGAAATACTGACTACTGAGCTTATGATACCCTCGGGGACTGATAGTCCACCAGCAGAGGTATCGACCCAGTGCTGTAAAAAATGAAAACAACACGTTATAAATTTCATGCGTCTGAAGCGCTTTTCTGGACTTACCTTTATCAGGAACGCTCACAGCTGAATAATTGAGAGCCAAGGATGTATAAGAACCTAAACAGTTTAAGAGCTATATGACCAAAAAGTACCTAAGAAATAGCCAAATCAGTCCAAGATCAACTTTGCCTGAAGGAGTTGAAACCTTCAAAATTTATAAACGGACAACTTTAGAAAGGTTTTGTTATAAATCATGTCAGTACTTCGGTACTTACTATTGAGCTTATGATACTGTGTAACAGGTATCGAGCAAGAATTTTTCTTAGTTTATATCTGTTTTTAATCCTGAAAATAACCTGAAGTTTTAAGACAATGTTGTCGAAATTAGTCTTAAATCGATAAACACATAATTCATTCGTTAAAATAAACATGTAAAAGCAAAGTCTTGAATAAAATACAGTGTTTTTACCTTAAAAGGAATATTTAAAGTATATAAAACATAGTCTGGAATAAAACACAGTATGTATGTTCTAGACCGGAACAATCTTGTAAGTCTCACTTCTAATTGGGTGATTAAGGATAATATGGGTGTGAAATTTCTCCAACATTAAATTAAAAAAAATGTTCAACGGTGAACTGGATTGTGTCACTGTATGTGTGTTTCACAGGAGATGGGATATCGCTATGGCGTAATTAAAATGTTTAAATGTACGTAGTCAGCTGAACTTTCAGAATAACCAGTATAGTTTGTTGTCTTTCTAATTTTCCGTCATTATTTTCACGATTTTGCTCAATTTTTTCCATAAACAAAACTTTCCATTCGCGATCTGTTTACATTCTACTTTTGCATATTTTCTTGTTGAATCTCCTAGAAATGTCTACATTTTCTACTCTTTATCTATACGAAAAGTATATCCATCGAATATCAAGGACCTTTTCCCTTTATTTGACTCAGAGATTGTAATCGCCATCTTTAATCTCGATTTTCGCATTGTCATTTCAGTAAATTAAAAATAAAAAAAATTAATCTCTTTGGCTTTATTTCCGAATTCATAATATTTTCAATAAAAATCTCTGATTTTTCAAACCATTCTAAATAGAAACTTAAATTAATCCGCGGAAAAGTAGTAGATTTTTTCAACATATAAATATCGGTTTATTAGATGACAAAAACATTCGACAACCCATATTATTATTTATATAGGTATACTCTTATGGTGATAATACTTTGATTCTTTTGTGCATTTTTTTTTCAGAGAGTTGAATTTCTAAGGAATACCAGACATTTCTCTTCTATTCATTAACAGTTAGAGTTTGTTATACAGCACACTTTTGTTCATCCTTACAGACCATGATTGGATCCGAAGTTTTCCCACATGAACTTAATATATTCCTCTTGTAAAAGTGTACTTTTTATTCACAAATCATCAAAACTTACCCCAAATTATTGTGGTAAAAAATGACATTGGATAATTCCAGAGAATAAAGATCTGATTTTTAAGTTTTCAGTGTTCACACACTTTACTCTCATAACATATTTTATAATTTTAATCTCTTTTTTACAAATGTAAGTATCATTTTATATGAATTCATAAATATGCCTACTTCATATTTTAAAAAAAATACTGAACAATTATAGATTCGCATCAACGTTGAAATTGAAGAATCATATATTACTACCTCTTTTAACCTTATAATGGGATTTGTTAGAAGTTTTGACACATTGTTAAAGAAAAGTTGGTACATTTGAGACTTTTGAAGTGTGAAGAATGTTGTTGAGTTTCTTGGAGTCTAAGTATATGTTCTACAAATAGAACTAGTTTGCAGTGTTTAAATATGAATGTTTTTTTTTCATTTATTGTAGAATTATCAATTTGTAGATGTTTTCTACTGTTGAAATAAACTCAGTGTTCCTATCGTAATTTGTCAAATATCTGTATTAAAAATATTTTTCGAAAACGGTTATTTAAAATATTCGTTTTGTTTTGACATTGGTTCAACTTGATTAAGAGGATGTGCTCTTTAGTTGTTTAAAAATTGCAATCTAAAGCATAGCAGTACAAACTAGAAGATCTAAAGAGCCTGTGTCGCTCACCCGGATCTGTGTGCATATTCAACAATGGCAACTCTCCAACATTGGAGACTAGAATATAATTCATGACTAGAAATAATATCCTTCTTGTTTATAATTTTTGTTGTTTTACAGTAACTGTTTCTCTCTACTATAGTTTCTGACAAAAACGCAAATTTAAAAAAAAAAAAAAATGGAGTTGAATAATGGTTTACTTTTATAAATTGTAACTTGGATGGAGAGTTGTCTCATTGGCACTCATACCACATCTTCCTATATCTATTGAATGACAATTTTAGCTATGTTGGCTAACACAAATCATATATCTTGTCTTGCTAAACATTTTTTCTATTAGAAATTTCTCTACATCTATCATAGTTTTCAAGGTAACAGGCAAACTACAAGAAAAAAAGTGTCATTTAAGGACACGCACTGCTAAAAGGAGTCGACTAACGATTTCGGCTGCGTTGACTTATTAGTAGATCTTATCTTGCTGGGCATTTTTGTTTTTAAAAGTTTTTTTATAGCTATTATAGTTTCCAATGTAATTGGCAAAATTGAAAAAAAAAATGTCATTTAAGGGCAATGCCGCAATAGCTCATAAAACTCGACTGATGATTTCTACTATGTTGGCATATTAGTAGGTCTTGTCTTGCTGGTCATTTTTGCTTTTTAGAGTTTCTCTGCTTCTATTATAGTAATATAAGATAATAGACCAACACACAAATCCAAATGGTAAAAATCGTCATTTAAGAAAAGTAAATCCTATTAGGAGTCGACTAAAAATTTCGGTCATTTTGCTTATTTTTAAATAATATCTTACTGATCTTTTAAAAGTTCTCTCTATTCATGACAGTTTTTAAGATTATGAGGAAACACAAAAAAGACAAAAATCGTCATTGAAGGGCAAAAGAGAGGCGGAGATACCAAAAGGACATTCAAACTCATAAGTCGAAAGCAAACTGACAGTGCCATGGGAAAAATCGAAAAACGACGAAAAGACTAATAACAATACACAAAATACAAAATAGAAAACTAAAGACTGAGCAACACGAACCCCACAAAAAACCGGGATGATCTCGGGTGCTCCGGAAGGGTAAGCAGATTCTGCTCCAGTAGTGACACCCATCGTATTTCTCATGTAAATACAAACTCGGTGATAAGTCTAATTCGGTAGGTCATATTCAAAGAAATGAGGACGGGATTGTAGTTACCACAATTGGGACATATCCGTCGTCATCTGTGAAACAGGTATTCAATATAAACGGTCAACCAACTCGTGATGGCGTCCGTAAAATTTTTGAAGGGATAAATCAACTTCACCACTTGGTTCGATAGCTTTCTTGTAAGCAGGAACCTTTTATCAAGGAAATTATGATAGGAAATGCAAGCTCTGGAATATCCTATCAGCTGGAGATATATACTGCATATGCAGGCGCTGCTGGAATGTTGCTACATAAAAACTGAAAGTTCATAATTTGGAAGCTGAATTCATCTCATTTGTCGTAAAGTTTTTTTTCAACCGACCCTCATTGTCAATATTCATGCAAAAGGGATTTTACAGGCACTTGTATCATTTTACCAATTAATAAACGGCACTGGGTAGAAGTGTATCCGAAATTGTAACGGCTTAACATTTATTTATAATTTATATCTATAAATACCTGTGAAGAAATAAACTCTTTATTAAAAAGACATACACTAACACGTTTATGTAATTTCAAATAAAGCACAATTCCCAGAACAGCCTGCAACCAGCAACAAGTCCCTTTCATTATCATAAAAAAGTTTGTAAGGCGTTTCAATACCATCCTTAAAACCCAGAACATCTACTACTCTCTTTCCGTCAGGTGATATTGCAACAACGGAGTGTTTTTCTTTAAACGCGATATATAAAATACCATATTTATCAATAGCTATGCCACTGGTACCTTTGCGAATTTCGTCCTTAAATTCCCAAAGTTTCTCGCCTTGAACACTAAAGCAGGACACTGAATTGTTGTTACTGTCTGTAAAATAAACTGACTCGCCAGATGATGCAATATATCTCCAACCGTTCGTTGAAGAGTCTAACTTCACGATAGTAGACGAATTACCGTCTTTTATGTTTACAACTGCAACACTAGCTTCGGTGCAATAATACATCATCGTATCCTTAAGTGCAACACCAAAGCAGGGATAGTTTGCTTTGATTTTGTTTTTGATATTTATTTAACTTGATGTCAAAAATATAAATATCAGAATAATGCCACACTGTGAATGCTATTGTCGTGTCATCAATACAAACTATATCAAATGGCTTGAATTCTGAAAGAGGTATCTCACAATCCAAAGAACCATCGGCGTTGAATATCACCAGTCGTTTATTTTTATCACAGTCTGAAAAAATACATTTTCCATTAGGAAAAATTGCACAACCAGTTATGTTATACTCAGTACTAACCCCCTTAGGCATTTGAAATTTTCGCAATAATGTTGCGTGTACATTGTCGACAGATTTTGGAATCAAGCTGGCAGACATTATCTGAGCATGTTTATTCTTTTCAAATTTGATATCAACAGATGGTCGACTAGATTCAATTGATATCGATCCAAACATGCCAAATGGCGTGATGCTTTGTAGTAAATTTTCAATCCCCTCATTATGAGAACATTTCATGGAAAGCTGTTTCAAACGTTCATCGTCTGATAAGGACTGAACATAGGCCTCTTCAGACACGATATTTTTCTCTAGTTCTTTACTAACTATCAATGTTTGTAAGTCGGATGCATGATTCTTAAGATGTGAAATGTTATTTTGTAACACTGCTATACTTTCTGATTTATCTTCAAGTTCTTCTAACAGATCCTCAATTTTGGTCTTCACAGCACACTCAGATGTGTTCAATTCTTTTATAATCTCTTGTTCTAGTTTATCAAAATGTGAATTAATTCTTTCGCGTAACTGTTTGATGCAAGCGTCAATGTTTTGTCTTTGTTCTTGAATTTTAGTAATATTTGTTTGTCTATCTTGAACTACTCTATCGATGCTGTTTTTCAAGTCTTCTAGTGATTTTTGCAAACTTTCCAACAAACCTCTAGATTTACAAGTTTTCGCCATTTCCTCAATGGGTAACATCCCCGTACAATCTTTGTGACTTGTTGAAAGGCATAAATGACAACAGAGTTGATCGTGATGTGGAAAGAATATTTGAAGTTTTTTCTCATGTTCCATGCAGTTTTGCACTATGTTTGAAATATAAGTGGACAATTTTCTGTAATCCTCTATCGAAATAACGCCATGAAGTCGACTTGCTTTGGAAAAACTATGATGGCTGTTACATTCAATACAGAGACCATCGTCACACTCCGTGCACCAGAAATTTGCTGTTTTCGTGATATGCTGGGCGTCACATATCCCACATAGAATATTTGTTGAGTTGTCCATTGAATCTAAAATGATTAAAACAATATCAAATAAACGCATACACCGGTTTGTATCAACTCAACAATATATATTATCATGTGTATTACACAATTAGAAATGTCAAGAAGGCATGTCTGACTAACCTCAAAACGATGTATGAATAAATATAAATATATTATACAAAAATCTAATTATCCAATACATTATGTACGGGAAATGATTTGTGAATGCGTTGTCTTTTGACTCTTTGGTTATATATACATATAATGTTTTGCAAAAAAGAAATAACTATGAAAGGTGTGGTAAGATTGCCAACTCCCCAACACACAACTGTCCGGTAAGCTTGACTAATACCACCCGCGTCGTGGATTGCCGTTTGAGTAAATTAATGACTGAATACAGGGAATTAAAGAAGTTAATAATAAAAGACAATGATTTTTGGTTTAATTTGGTGTTGTCTCAGATGCATGTATACTCTACATACGTGCACACTAGCATATCAGGATAATAGAAGGGTACATATTTTTGATCAATTATTCTACAAAGTGTCACGTGAATCAAACTAGGGATAAATAAAGGTCCGGATCCAAATAGTCAGGCTGATTCCCATATGCTCTAAACCTTTTGTTTGCAGTATGTTTTATAACCCAATATTTGTGAATGATGATATAAATATCCACTGGATTGTGTATATATTTTGTGAGCAAAATTGCATAGACAAAAACTTGAGAATACAACATAATATATGTAATAGGTCATCAACTACTATTTATTTTTATTTTAATCAACAATCATTAAAATATTTTCTGTACAGTAAATCTTTCACATTTATTTAGATAATATGTAATATGATTGCCAATGAGACAATCCTCTACTAGAGACCACTTGACGTGGAAGATAACATCTATAGGTCACCATATAGCAATGAGCAAAACCCGTACCGCATAATTAGCTATAAAACGCACGGAAATGACAAATGTAAAACATTTTAAACGAAAAAACGTACTGCCTGGTTTATGTACAAAACAAACGAAAGCTAAATATGATATACAGCAACAAAAGACAGCCTCTGAATGACAGGCAACTCACTTAGGACAGGTACACACATGATGTGGTGGAGTTAAACATGTTTGCGGGCACACAACCCTTTCCTAACCTGGAAATGGTGTAACAGCACAACATAAGAACAAACTGTAAAAATCAGTATTAATATGTGGTCATTTTTTCCATTATTTTATTTATTCTTAAGAAAAATCTAACAACAGTTTTTGTTGTATTATTAATGTATCAGCCAATATAGCGGTGTTCGATACAATGGACAAAAACAACTAACAAAAACACAAGACAAAAAGTACAGATCTGAGAGCACTAGCAGTTACTGAAAGCTAGTTCAAACCCAATACAACTAATAAAACAAAATCATGTATCTAAAGCTAAAATTTCAATCAGAACACATCCAATATGCAATGGATTTAGTGTATAGATAGTCAGAGAAAAACATGACAATGCCAAAATACACAGGTATCGACAGATTGTTGGACCGTTTGTGTATAACAATAATATTTAGTTATGTTTTAATTCATTGATAACAAAATCTATATTTATACCGATAAAAAACAATATTCAAATATCTAATTACGGTGTTCAATTGGTAATATTTAAGAATAAGTTTATTTACTTTGACTTGAATATGTGTGTTGCTGTTTACCTTTACCTATTGTTCAACCAGATTGTAAAATTGACAATACAATTGGGACATTTAAATTGACCAGTTAGTATTGTTAAGAGTTGAGTCTACCTTGATGCTACATTGTACCTGTACTGATTTTTATTCACCTAACCCAACCTTACAGCATGCTTTTTCCTGAAGTTTTTCTTCACCTAGGGTTATTCTATTATAAAATTGATAGGGAAGAAAATATATTGGTTTTCATTGTTTTAAGCCCCTAATATAGATGATTAATCTAATTTTGACCCAATAACCTAAATCAGTCAAAGATTTTCGGAACTGCATTTTAATATGTATGAAAAATAAAACTGTTTTTACATAAATGAATCTTTAAATTTTTAACCCTTATACTAGTATTGTCCAGTTGTCAGTGAAACAAGAAATAGCTATTTAGGTGTTTTCAGTTTCAGTTTTCAGATGGATATGTATTGTGTTTCTTCATATATCCCATCAAATTGTTCATTTTTGCATTTTTATTCGCAGTGTATGAAATCTATTGGAATCAATTTGCATAATATATTGGGATTTATTTGATTTGAATTCAATTTTTAGATGCATTTAATTTTGCTTCTTAAAATGTGAGTTTGAATGGATTGTCATGAATGTATCAAGGAGGAAATAAAACTTGAATGCAAGTAGGAGAAATAAGTTCAACCGACATATTTCTGTGTCTTTAAATGTTTAAATATGATTTTGGAAATAATCATTATAAAATTCTGGATCTAATATGAAGATGATTCACCTGTTTAAATGGGATACATATCATAGAAAATGAAGTAAAATGTGAATACAGTGGATATAGTCAAATCTTAAGTGATAAATAAAATAATAAAAGTAAAATATTCCAAAAATTTCATTACGTGAGGATAACAATGTTTAATGTGATATTGGAAATAATCATTATACAATTCTGGATCTAATATTGTTTAATTGGGATATATATCAAGTGATATAGTGAAAAATATGAATAAAATATTCCAAAAAATTTGTAAAGTGAGGATTATTTATTTAGAATGTGATATAGGAAATGATCAAAAATTACAAAATTCTGGATCTAATATGAAGACTGTGCCTGTTTATTGGGATATATATCATGGGAAATTAAACAGAATACAGTGGATATAGAAATAAAATCTAATGATATAGTGAAAAATGTAAGAAAATATTCCAACAAGTTGATAGAATTGGGAATATAGTTTAAAATTACTTCAAATAGTGAAAACTGGAATACTGGATGGGATATCAAATATCAGTGTCAATAAATAAATAAATAAACCAGTTTATTCGTAACTATTATTTTTGATATTTCACTATGCATGAACACTTTGTACAAGGCTCATGTCAATAAGTATTGAACAAATGTCTAAACGAAGGAATGCACACATTTGTTCTGGTGTTTTTTAATCCTGGAAAATTAGGGAAATTATGGAATAATTAAGATTTCCATGAGTAAAATATAAATCTTTTGAGTTATCTCCCATTAGAAAGAGCGAATGAGATAAAAGAGGTCTTTTTCAACTATACAAAAGAAATCCAAGCACTCATTGTATTTGAATATGAAAACATTAAGAGGAAATGTATTGCATTATATGACATGCAAGTTAATACCCTGCAAGAAAAAAGCATATTTATTGTAGTTCTGGATTGCTCACTCTTGAAATTTGAAATGACAGTAAAATGAAAATCTCTCCTTTTTCTTCTAAATGTTGTGTTTCTTTGTAAATTGTATGGCCAATTACTTCAAGGAATACATTCATTTCAATGAAAAAGACTTTAATTATAATGTGTATTCCATTTACTTATTTTAAGATTCTCTAAAGAAAAACATGGGGAAATGAAATTAAAAGAAAAATAAGCAGTCTTTAGCAAATATTAGAACAAGGAATAATTTTGCATATTGTGTCCATATTCTAGCTTTTTTCATACCATATATATTTATTTAAACTGTGTGCATGTTATGCTATTTCACAAAGATAAAACTTGAAACCTAAATGCCACATGGATAAGTTTTGAAAAACAGTGACAATTGAACAGGCAAAGTGATGGGACAGCATCAAGGTAGAACGTAAATGCATGAGCGATTAACTATTGTCAACTCTTAACAATACCAACTGGTCAATTTAAATGTCCCAATTGTATTGTCAATTTTACAATCTGGTTGAACAATAGGTAAAGGAAACAGCAACAACTATAGTCAAGTCACAGTAAAGGATCGATAAATTTACCAGAATCTTATCTGAATTTAAAAAAACATCACCATCAAAATTAGAATGTGCTATTCCGTTTGTGATTAGTTTTCTACAGTTACAATCACACTTCCAAACCAATCTTTGTATCTATGAAAGAACGTAGTAAAAAGTAAATAACAAAAATAACAAAAATACCAAACTCCAAGGAAAATTCAAAACGGAAAGTCCCTTGGCAAAATCAAAAGCTCAAACACATCAAACTAATGGAAAACAACTGTCCTATTCCTGACTTGGTGCAGGCATTTCCTTATGAAGAAAATGGTGGATTAAACCTGGATTTATAGCTAGCTAAACCTCTCACTTGTATAACACTCGCATAAAATTCCATTATTCCAGTAAATGTTTTAAGTAATTTGAAGTAACGAAATCATTGAAATAATAATTGACCAGTAATACATAGATTATATTCATTTAAATCCAAAACGTGACTACTTACATGGGCATAGCGAACGAGTTGGTATCGTATGCTTGCTTGTGCACTGGTGTTATTGAAAGCATTATAACACAGCGTTTTATAAGAAGTTCTTCAAATCCATTTGGTCAATTATGAATTGCCCTTATAAGAAGACAATCATTTTTTGGATTCTTAATATCATTCTTAAGGGGGTACCCAACACTTGAACTAAAACAGATTTGGATCGTTTAATTTTCATAAAATTTGGCAAAATAATTACTTTGACCTGTTGACAGAAATATGAAAAAATCAAGAAATTAGAACCACACAACACACAACTTATAGGAATAATTTCATTGAATATATAGCAGTTTGACAAACACTAATATTTATCATTTGACTTCTCTTTACTAATAGTATGTGATAAAAACGTTACGCTGATTTTAAAGAGTAAACACCCTTTGTTGTTCTGTACCTCTTTTAGCAATAATATTTTGACTTACAATGAAGACTTGTACTACCAGATTGCATGCTCTTTGAAACTTGTTTATATTGCACATTGAATTCTCCATCCTAAAATAATATTGCATTATTTTCCATTAACAGTTAAAATTTATGTTGAAAAATCTAATTACAGTGTCCTTATTGATTCCAACTACTAATGTATAATTGTAACTCATTGCTGTGAATCAAATTTTGAAGAAATTAGTGAAATTATCCCTTTTGGTAAAAATACGGAAGTAATTGATAAGATGTGTAAAATTTCCTAATCATTGATAAACACTTCTTAGTCAATCATAAAAAAAACACTGTACAAGACCTACTACCCGATGAAACTATCAATATTTTGTATACTTCTTCAGTCATCAACTTCATTATTAAAATCTGTAAGAATTTGTAGATTGATTTATTTTTGGTGTTTAACGCCACTGTCACCACCCTTTGTTATATCATGACAGTCAGTTTTATTGGTTATGAAGACGGAACCAGAAAAAAACACAGAACTTCTGCAGATAATACCCGATCCTTGTCAAATATGATAGGAGTCAAACACGCCTCACCAAAAGCAGTGTCTTAACTCATAAAGAATCAAATGAATACATACCCATTTTGGATCTAGTTTATCACATGGAGGGATTTGTTTTCCATATAAGGTCTGATCATTATTACAACTGATGTTTCTGTTACCTAGTAAATTATAATTTTGATGTATCTGTTAAAAAATAATATCTGTAAACATACGTGTATGTACAAATACCAATCGAGGTAATGAATTATTCTTCACTATTGAATTAAAAAAAAAATATAACTGTTCTATAAATTAGCAAGTATTGATTAAAATTCAGGACAATGAACTATAAATGCCCGTAAAGCTGAACTCATATCCCCCGCATCTTTGATTTACGTTTTGATATGCTAATGAGAGAAATACAGGGAACTAAACAAGATGGTAGTAATTTCGGACTGTTTCTAGTGTTTATTTATAATTGTTTTCTCAGATGTATGCAGATCCTACATACATGCTCATTTGCATATCAGGATCTAACAATTATATACTAACTCCTTACAAATATAGATTTATTTCGTCTTCAAACCATTGTTCCACTACTAAACTATCTATTCTACTTACTAGTACACTTGGTACAATCAAAAACCTGGTAATAAATTGTTCAAATTTGGCCTTTGAAAACAGTGGAATTAATTACTTTTGGAGTGTCAAAAATTCGTTGAAAGTACTTGATAAATTGCATGCTTATATTGGTGATTTCGAATCTGTTTAAAGTTTTGATTTTTCTACCCTATATACCACGTTGCCTCATTATCTTATTAAGAAAAAATTCACACACCTGATTAAATGGGCATTTAAAAAGTCGGAATGCGAATATATATGTTCAAACTCTTTTAGGTCATTTTTTAGTAACAACAAACAAAAGAACTATGTCAATTGGACCTACTTTGATACTATAACTGCACTTGAATTTTTACTAGATAACATTTTTGTTCGCTACGGAGATTCCGTATATCGTCAGGTTATCGGAATTACCATGGGGACTAACTGTGCACCACTTATTGCGGATCTGTTTCTGTATTGTTATGAGTTACAATTTATGACTAAAATCAGCAAAGACCCATCGAAACAACATCTGATTCAAAAATTTAATAACACTTTTAGATATTTAGATGATATATTGGCTCTCAATAATGACGACTTCAGTATGTAAACTAAAGAGATTTATCCTGCCGAACTAACTTTAAATAAAGCTAATACTAACAATGAATGCTGCCCTTTCCTGGATCTTGATATATTTATCTTTAACGGGAAGCTTAATACCAAAATTTATGATAAAAGAGATGATTTTTCATTTCCTATTGTTAATTATCCATTTTTAGATGGTGACGTTCCCTTGTTGCCATCTTATGGTGTTTACATATCTCAACTTGTTCGATTTGCTCGAGTATGTAACAACGTATTTGATTTCAACGAAAGAAATCTCTGTAGTACTGAAAAATTCTTACACCAGGGTTTACGATCATTGTCGATATCACAAACTGGTCAAAACATTTACTAAATTTTATCATCGGTACAAGGACATCATTTGTAAATATAAATCAACATGCAGACATCTTATACGTTCAGGTATTTCACATCCAATATTTTATGGTAATATTCTTTACAAAGCACAAAAATGTCAGTATTAACCTCAAAAGCTAACCAAACCTTTAAACAGACTTATTCGGAGAGGATATAGTTACGATACTGTTGTCAAGTCATTAAAGATTGCATATTTTGGTATTAATATTGATTCACTCATAGGTTCTTTGCATCGGAAATAAACACATTTATTCTAAAACCAATTGTTGGCATGATACGGGTTATGTTCTTCTCATATATTTTATGATGGTATGATACTTAACCCCTAACGGGAGGGATTGTACTTGATTTTCATATGATGAAGTTATAATCTTTCAATCAGTCTAATTGAGGTCTGGAGCTGGCATGTCAGTAACTGCTATTAGTCCTTTGTTCATTTATGTATCATTGTCATTTTGCTTAGTTTCTTTTGTTATCTATTCTGACATCGGACTCGGACTTCTTTTAAACTGAGTTTTACTGTTCGTATTGCTATATGTTTCTTTATTCTACATTGGCTAGAGGAATAAGGGGAGGGTTGAGATCTGACAAAACATTTTAACCCCGCCGCATTTTTGCGCCTGTCCCAAGTCAGGAGCCTCTGGTCTTTGTTAGTCTTGTATGTTTTTAAAGTTTAGTTCATTTATATGTTTTGGAGTTTAGGGTGACGTCCATTTTCACTGAACTAGTACACAATTTTATTTAAGGGCCAGCTGAGGACCACCTCCGGGTGCGTGATTTTCTCGCTGCATTGAAGACCCATTGGTGGCCTTCGGCTGTTGTGTGTTCTTTGGTCGGGTTGTTGTCTCTTTGACATATTCCCCATTTCCATTCTCAATTTTAAGTCTCATATAGATATAATGAACCAAATTTGAGGACTGGTGATGACCGGGCAAACCCCACTTGTCTGGAACGTCCTACTCAAATGCACATCAGTATATTAGAATCTAACAATCTGCCTAGTTTCGTGTAGACAAGAGAGTCAAAATGTTTGAAGTTGAAAGGGTCATAACACTACAAAATACTCAATGAACGAGCACATACTACCCACATGATGCATGGACATTTGCTTGTTAGGATCTAACAATGCACTAAATGTCATCTGGGTACAAAAAAGCATGAAGGGAGAGCTGCGATGACAAGGTTGATTCTAAAATGGGTAAAATAACTCTTTGTTGAAAAGGGAAAATTTTAGATATACTAAATAGAATAAAAATTCTTAACATTCTGAGAAGTTGGGATTACGGATGCGTGGCAAAATGGGTACCTCTCAGGTTAACCAATATCAAAAACCGTTTGCTAAGGAAAACCCCAAAAAAAAGTAATTCTGATCAGAAAGTAGTAACAAATATGATCCTGTCGATACAATTCACTTATCTTTTGGCTTTGCACAAGGTCATGTGTTTCTCATACTGTTTATGACGTCAACACACTAAATTCGTTGAATGTGTACTGATTGATTCTTTTGTCTCGGAGAACATGATTTATTTATTAGTTGTAATTAGCAACTAACTTTCAGTAATTGCGAGTACTTTGTTTATGTCGGTGCTTTGTGTCTATTGGTTTTGTGTTAGTTTTTTTGTATCTCGTATCGATCTTTTGATTTAAACCAATTGCAACTGATTTTTACAGTTTGTTCTTATGTTGTGCTACATGTATTACACCACTGTCTTATGTTAGGGGGAGTATTGATCGCACACACAGATGTTTAAATCCACCACATTCAGTTTGTGTCTGTCCCAATTCAGGAGCCTGTAGTTCAGTAAGATGAAAGTAATTTAACTTGAATTCAACATTCATGGTGTTTCCCTAACAGTCACATCATAGACTTGTAATTGTATTTTAAATCTGAATTTTTACAAAATTTTGATATTTTAAAAAGCAATTAGTATACTACGGTTTATTTTGGTTTTAAGACTAAAAGGCAGAAAGTTTTCAAATTTGACAATATCATCTGTATTCCGCGCTTCATACAAAGTGTGCTTCGGTCAACGCATTTAAATTCCAATAGAATCATAAAAAGAAGCATTTAATTCCTAACTAATCTAGAGTCAGGTTAATTTAGAAGTCTGCTTGTCTATCGTTGAATATTGTATGACGACCTTTTATTACACGTTTATTGTACGTTAACTTGTTTTGAGGGATTGTTGTCTCATTGACGTATATTAAATAAATGGAGAACGTGTCCATGGGACACAGATGATGTCTCGCTTACCTATAACTTTACAAAAGGACATAACTCAAGAACGGTAAAAGTGACGCCACACAAGTTCGAACTTGATCTGAGTTTTGTGGTAGTAAGCATTATGTATAAGTTTCAAAACATTTAGTTGAGGCAAACTTAAGTTAGAGAACGGGAACGAAAAATGCAGCAATTTTTCCATTCGTAAAGGGGCATAACTCTAGAACGATAAAAGTGACCCCAAAAGAAATCAAATTTGATCTGTGTTTTGTGTTAATAAGCATTGTGCATAAGTTTCATAACATTTGTTTGAGGCAAAAAAAGGTTAAAGAACGGAAACTAATTTTGGGACGTATGTACGTACGGACGGACAAACGGACAAGGGTAACACTTAATACCTCCCTCCGCTGCGGCGGGGGCATAACATATGTGTCATATACACTAAAAGAGGTGTCATATACCTATGTTCAAGTACCACTGGATGTGCTGCTGCTGATGGACTATAAGTCTGCAAGCTAGGTACCAGTAGCCGGTATTGCAGTGTGATACATTAAAGTTGTTCAAGAAAACTATAACTATTCATATTTTTATGTGAAAAGTGTCAATACAATATATCTATACCTGATTCTATAAGAGGAAGACCAGACTGTTCACAAGGAAGACTAGACTGTGTACAATGAAGACTAAACGGTTCACGAGGAAGACCAGACTGTTCACGAGGAAGACAAGACTGTTTACGAGGAAGACTATACTGTTCAAGAGGAGGACCAGAGAGTTTACGGAGGTGGTCTATACATTCTTGCACTTTTTTATTCTTCTCTATTGGGAAACCATCATCACATTTATAGCACCTAAAATATTCATTATATGGTAGTGAATATCATTCATGTTTTCCATTTAACTCAAATTGCTAGGAACACATGATTACCCTTTTATTTATATACTCTGTGAAAATTTAATTGAATTTACTATTTAGTTTATTAAAACAAATCCAACTTGGAAACAAGATTTCTTACAGTTGCGAAACATCTGGTCCATACCAAATGTATTTATTAACTAAACTTCATTAAATACTTTCATTACTAAGATCAATACCATGTCTGGACCTACGTCGCTGCATGCAATTGATTGAGGTAACATGTATTGTAAAGCATAATTAAAGATTCCATTAAAACATTGGAGCCAAGAAAATTTTGTTGAAAACTTTCCATAGACAATGAGTGTTGTAAAATTTCAAACTATTGGCAAACAGGAAGTGGCTGCAAGGCAGATGTAAATATTGCTAACAAGCTACAATTAAATATTATCAAAATGCAGGCCAAATATAAGATCATTTACTTTCATAGAAACCACACAAAAACCAAATTGTCCTTATATAATGAGTATTGTAAAATTTTAAACTATCTGCAAACAGGAAGTGGCTGCATGGTAGATGTAAGAATTGCTTTCTCGCTACAAATCAACATTATTAAGCTGCAGACCAGATGTACAATAGTTCTTTTCTATACAAGCCAAGAAAAGTTTGACGAAAATTTGTTTTTTTTACTATGAGTGTTGTTAAATTTCAAACTATCTGCAAACAGGAAATGGCTGCATGGCAGATGTAAAAATGCTTACACGTTACAACTCAATATTACCAAGCTGCAGACCAAATTTACAATCTTTTTTTTACTTTTATACAAGCATGAAAAGTTTGGCAAACAAAAATTTTTCTTGTACAATGAGTGTTGTAAAATTTAAAACTATCGGCAAACAGTTAAGTTTTACCTCGGTCTCCAACGCCAACAGCTGGGCTAATAACCGCTCGACACAATCGTCATTTCGTTCGTCTGTCCGAATCGACTATGGGTGGAAAACTTTGATGAAAAGAGAATGATTTTATATTTGGTTTAAAAGTTGATAATTTTGAGTTGCTTGTGTAATCACAATGATTGCACCAATCGTGCAGCCACTTCCTGATTGTCGATAGTAAGAAATTTTACAACACTCAATCAAGAAGTGGCTGCACGATTGATGCAAACATTGTGATTACACATGCAACTAAAAATTATCAATCTGCAAACCAAATATAAAATCATTCTCTTTTCATCAAAGTTGTCCACCCTTAGTCGATTCGGACAGACGATCGAAATGACGATAGTGTCGAGCAGTTATTAGAACAGCTTTCGCCGTTGGAGACCAAGGTAAAACTTAACTGAAGGTATCTTAAATAATAAAATCATAAAATAACAAAAAATTGTTTCATTATCTGATTTATGGTCAGTGTGCACACATTTCCTGTTTGAACGTCATCAAAATTTTGACAGGAGTCTTTTTGCTCAAATGTTACATTTAACGTGGCAAAACAACAATTTAACATACAATATTGATATTGTAATAATAGATAATTGTATCTGCAAGAAAACGTTTACTACAGTAACACATTTAAATGGCAGATGACATTATCACATGAAAACTTATACTGTTGACCTTCATTGTATATAATAATCTAAACCAATATTGTCTGTAACATTTTTTCATTATGAAGAATTGAAGAGCAGAGATGTAATAATTTCTCCTAAAATAGTACCATGTTGACTATGTTAACGTATTGACTACTGGATCTAAACCAATATTGTCTGTAACATTTATCCATTACGAAGAATTGAAGATGTAATAATTTCTCATAAAATACTACCATGTTGACCATGTTGAAGTATTGACAACAATACAGTGACTACTGGATCTTGGTGTTTCATAATGCTTCAATGCATGCTTTTCATACGAATTCCTATCACAGCCCTGAAAAAAGAAATGTTTTTACAAATTTGAGCCATAATGCTTTCGTGCAAGCTTGTCATAGAACTTCCTATCATAGCCCTGAATGGGAGACACCTAATTTCACACTTATTGATCGATATTCAAATACTCTAGTGCATGCTTGTCATAATTTCTTATTCAACCCATTGATTAATGCTTTACAGTGTACTCTTGTCAGAGAAATTCCGGCAACAACAAAAAGAAAAAAACATAATTCGCATGCATTGTCTTGCTCAGCATGCCCCTACTGGTATTTCAAATATTGGAAAACAGGAAGTAGGTGTCTGACAGATCCAAACTGCAAACACGAAAATTTGGGCAAATGAGGAGTAAAAACTTGCTGAGTGATTGAACTACAAACCACAAACAGTTGATGCATGTCCTAATTTGTATGGTTTGATGGAATAACTGTGCATAAAATATGCTGGAGTCAACAAGTTGTACGATATCGATTTGCCGATCTTTCCCTTCTTGTGGAAATTAAAGGTTAAGGGGCAACACTTATAAACTACACATATTGTAAGATTGTATGAAATCGAACAAAAACACCTTAAAGGTAATTAAGTTGATATAATAAAGAAAATGTCATAAAAAATATAAAACACCAACTAAAATGGGGTCCAGTCCTCCAAGCGCCTGTGTATAGTAGTACTAGAGAAATGTTTGAGGAAAATATTAACTTAATTCAACAAATTGAAAAATTCAAAGTAAAGAAATACAGGAAGCAGATGTCTTGACAGATTCGATAGGTAGTCACACGTTGCAACTTACCACAGTAAGGCTTCTGACAAAATATGACGTCATTCTGTTCTGTAGCAGTGGAGGAATGTGTGCAAAAAATACTTACTTGATTCAACATATTGAAAAACTAAAAGGATCGGCAAACAGGGAGTAGGTTTCTCACAGGTTCGAAAAGGGCTCAAACGTTACAACACACCACTTTCAAGCTGCTGACCAAACGTGAAGTCATTTTGTAATGTACCACTGGAGAAATAGGAGTCGAAATATTTGTTTTAGTTGATTGGATGGACAAACGGACAAAGTGATTGCAATATCGCCCCCAACCTATATTCGGGTATAATATCGTTTTATCTGTTTTGATCATAATGCTTTTGTGCCTGTTGTTACATAAAAATTACAGAAAGGGAAAATTATCATAATATATGTGGAGACGCTTGATTATATCAGGGACTATATTATATCCCAGATTATATGTTTTATCTAACTATTCTATAAAAATCAAGAATGCACGCATTGTAATTCAAATAGGAAATATGTGTCTGGCGGATCCGAAAAGCGCCCAAACGTCACAACTCATCGTTATGAAGCTGATGACTAAATAATTTATTATGAAGTCATTCTGTTTTGTATTACTGGAAAAATAGATGTTAGACGGGAAATTATGATTTTTATGTAACATTTTGAAAAATTCAGTGTATCGACAAACAGGGAGTAGTTGTTCCACAGATCCGATAAAAGCTCATAATTAACAACTCATCACAGTCAAGCAGCTGACCATAGACGAAGCCCTTCTCTGTTTGCTAGTACTTGAGAAAAGTATGGTGGTAATATTTGTTGGACGAACGGACAGATGTAGGGACAAGGTGAATACAACATTGCCCCTACTCATTGACATATCATGTTATAGCGGGGCCTTTGTGAAAAAAAAACAATCTTGAAAAGAAGAAATTTCTTTCACTTTGCAGCACAGGAAATTTTCTTTTATATATATATATGATATAAAAAGCACTTTATAAATTCCGTGCGCTTTTTTTAGATTTGCCTTCACCCGGAACACTCAAACCGAAACATTTGAAAGACAGGGGGTGTTTGAATACGTAGAAATCTTATGAGCTATATAACCATAAGGTCCAAAACAGAATAGCCAAATTCATGTAAAATCAACTTTACCCGAGGGAGTATATAAAAATACTGATTATTATGCCACAAGTACTTCTGTATCATGTCCAATTATTCTTATACAGAAGAATCATTATTTTATGGGTATTGATAACAAGCGTTCATTATGTGAAATATAAAGCTACTTTATTATTTTTTATTCATATCTAACATGTGTTTTACCAAGATTCACAGATGCTCACTTGGCCATATTAACAACTGAAGGGAATTATATGGGATTTTGACATATCTGTATTTAAGATAGCTTTGAATTCTATATATATAAGTAAAAGTATGTCTTGTCTCCTTATCAATCATCATTTTCAGTTTTCATTCTTGATTGACTTCTTATTTCAGGTTTCTATTTATATATATAGTTACTTTATGAAACTATCTTCTTCTAAACAAGGCACGTTCAGCTATGGTTTATGTATTATACTATCTACTGTCTGTTTGCACCAAGTTCAGATTCTGTCATATATATTAACATTTATTTACCTGATGTCCACAATGTAAACACACCCAAATGGTGTGCTCTCGTTGTTCAATAATAAAACAGTAATGGGGAAACTCGAGAACAGTGAAAGTGGCGCCACTCTAATTCGAACTGTGTTTGGTGGTGATAAGCATTGTGGATAAGTTTAAGAACATTCGGTTGTCAAAAAGTAAAAATTAGAGGGCGGAAACGGCAAATTCAGCAATTTTCCATTTATAAAGGGACATTACTCAAGAACGGTGAAAAAAATTTCAACTTGATCTATGTTTGGTGGAAATAAGCATTCTGTATAAGTTTCATAACATTTGGTCGAGGCAAACTAAAAACGGAAACAAATTAAGTACGTACGGACAAGGGTAAAACTTAAGTTCCTTCCGCCAAGGCGAGGCCAAACAAATATTTAAATGTTAATTGCTAATTGCTTTAAAACCTTTCAGGGTAGAAATGTTACATAGCTTACCTAACCGTTTTATGATATAGAGCCACAGAATGATTCAGAGTGATCTTACTTGACAGCTTTGTTTATGTATTTATTTTTAAAACTAAATTTATTTTTATTGATTTCTGTGTGCTTTAGTTACTTAGTTAGCACAGCCTATTTTTTCTCCTTTTACTTGAACTTGTCTATCGGCATTCACTATGATTTTTATTATGACATTTTTAAAGTGCGACCAACTTGGTCTATCTTCCTGGTGGGTGATAAGGGATCCAGGGTGAAATAAATAGGAAGTGAAATAGATTTAGGTATTGCACAGGGTCGTATTTATCTCTGACTGCTAATGATGTATTAACACATAAACAGTTGGAGGTTTACTGAATGATTTAAAAGGCTGGGAATACATTATTTATTTCTTAATACAAATTAACTTTTTGTTAGTTTTTTTTCTGGGTACGGATGTAATGTTATATATATATATACAATGTATATTCAAGTTTTCCAGATCAGTACTAGTGAGCTAGTCTATGCCTCTGTATGGTAATTTACTGTATTTTTGAAAATTTAATTTTGTAACGTATATGGTTCAGTCCTCTTTTAGTGTCTTGTGTTTACTTACTAAACATTCTCCAAATGTCTGTTTACTTAATCCTTTCTTCATCTGTGCAAAATTTACAGACATGTTCACATGGTTACATGTACATGTTGGTCCTGAAATGAAAAATCTTCTTCAAAATATTTTAGCAGTGTTGAAAAATGAAAATTCAAATATATTTATTCTTCATGTATAATGAGCACTAGTGTGTAGAGTTGATAAACATATTAAAATCTTACTTACAATATACAATTCATAAAACACTTTTCAGCACAGTTAAAAGGATTTGCAAAATTTTCTAGTCCAGTATCTTAAATTCAAAACTTTGGAAGCAATCTTTCAAATCATATCATTCTTAATCAAACTATGATTGACAAAGGATGTCATGGAAGAGAAAGACTAATAGCTGCTAAATTGAATATAAACAAACCTCTAAAAATAACATGAACAAAGATTTTAAAATAAAGCCAGCCTTAAAAATATTTCGGTTTACCAAAACTAGACATATGGCTGTTGGGTATTGGTATGTTGGGAGGCACATTCTTTTCTTTTTATGTACAGTGATACTAGATCCTAAACTGGCAAAAAAAGTCTTTTGTTTTTATATTAGTTGCTTATTATCCTATTTGCTTTTTTCGTTTATTGTTTGTATATAAATCAGGCCTTTAGTTTTCTTGCTTGTATTGTTTTAAATTTTGTTTTTCCGGTTCTTTTATAACTGACTTTTTGCTCATTTTTGAAGACCGTACGGTAACCTATAGTTGTTTACATCTACCTCATTTTGTCACCGGCGAATGCTTTTTACTTTGGCAAACATACTTCAGATATAACCACTTTTAATTATGGCAAATATAAAGTCCTAGGATTTATGCTTAATAAAAATCAGGACAAATTAAGATTCTATTTTTGACTTGCATATTAAATACCAAAGCTACAATACAAAAGTTATCAAACCTTGTCTATATCAGAACTTTTACATTTCCCTCAACTTTATACCCAAGCCATATGGAAACAGCACTTCTTGTGAAGTCTTGTTATCATTTCTGCACTTCCTTCAGACCTTAAGTTAACTATAAGTTCTTGAATATAACATTAAATTTGTTATGATAACCCTATACCAACCCGATCCGTCATCCGAAGAGTCAGTTGCATCCTTTGTCTTGCGTATTCTATGCCTTTTATTCTTTCCCATGCTATAGGATGGTGTAGTTCCAGTAGCTGCTGTCTAAACAATAAATAATCAACAATTCAAAATAATTAAAACCACGCTCAGTATTGTTAAATGTTGTTCGTGTCCAGAAAAAAATTGCAACATAAAATCTTAAGTTTTTTTTTAATATCCTAACAACTGACAGCTCTGCCTATTAGATGATCTTTTGTTTCTGTATGTAATACATATACAGCCACGACATCCAAACTGATAGAGGACATTATATTAAATATATGTATATAAGTGGGAGTATGCCACAAATCGCTTGCAGATACTCCTGCTGAGGGATTCTGTTTGGGCTAAACATGATATATATATATATATATATATATATACTCTAACATTGTTAGGTTGATTTTCTATGCTCTTTTTATATATACAGACACTTCTGTTTAACTGTGCATATACCATGATTATACAGCCTTATTCCATTTCCCATGTATCAAGAAATTGGAATTATAATTGTCTTTCCTGTTCCTTTCTAGTCTCCACATGTTGCTTTAGATGAGCATGACAATAAAATACGACATTTACGGTTCTAGATGATTCAAAATAATAACAAAATTTATAAATTTTTAGACAACTTTTTACACTTGTTCGGTATAATAAAGCAATTAAAGCTCATTGAGTCGGTGAATATCCAAAATTGTCAACCCAAGTAAGGGTTATTTCCCCTCGGGCTAAAGCCCTCGTGGAATAACCCTTACTCTCGTTGACAATTTTGGATATTCACCACCTCAGCGGGCCATAATTGTATATTATTCTTTAATTCAATTTTAGAAAGGGGTACGACAAATACAGTAGTTTTATATAGTTAGTACATGAAGATGACAATACAATTTGTCTGAAAATGTAAATCTGTCAGATTTAAATTTCTTTTCAATGAAGGATTAATATTCACATACTTTATTATCTCCATAAAATTAACTAAAATGAATATAACTAATATGTTTTACATCTCCAGAAGTTCTTGTTGGTCAAGACATAATCGTCGAATAATTTTTCCTGTTTTTTTCGTTATATTTTTAATTAGAGTTTAAACTATTTATATCTCAAGAACTTTAAAAGAACTTTACTACGCATAGATCTAAAGTTTCTGCACAAGGTCTTAACAGATTGTTCCCTGATTATTTTTTTTATAGATTTTTTTTCAATAAAAAAATAAATAATTTTGTCATTGTCTATGAAAATTAACTGTGCTTTTATGAATAGTACTGGGAATTATTAAAAACCGACAGTTAAGAGCACTTGGAAGACCCAGCACTATAACGATTTTGTAAGGACACTTACTAGTACACTTTGTTGATATTCAGCACAGTGAAGGAAGACACAGTTGTTCATTTTTAATTGAAATTCCAAAGGAACATAGTACAGATCTATGATTTTCAGGGTTTCCTCTTTTGTAATTGTTGAGGGAGTATATGTTGAGTTTCCATGAGAATTGTCAATACCTTATTCGGTTATAAAGCCGCATGTGTAAATGTGATTAACACACAAAAAAAAAAAACGTTTTTAGAGCTTAAGCTGCAGTGACAACCATATATCTGTCATGGAGGTAGGACAAGTTTGTAGCAACATTTGAAGTCTTAGAAGATAGATGTAGCATGAGTGTTACTAGACTCTTAAAAACCTTGAAAACTATAATAGATATAGATAAACTGACAGCTTTTCTTAACGGCGAAAAAAATATCATCTAGACTTTTTTGCGTTTTTGAGAAAACAGAGAGAGAAACTGTTTACAGCAAACATGATTAGCAAAACAAGATCTACAAATGAATTAAACGGTCGAAATCGCCAGTCAACTTCCTATCAGAGGTTTTGCTCATAAATCACGTTGTTTGACCAATCTAAGTGTTATTACTTAACATCTTGAAAACTATTATAGAGAGACAAAAACTTGTAAGAGTAAATATGATCAGAAACACAAGATGATGATCGACTTATACTTTATGTTTGAAATAGTAAAATTTCTAGTAAAATTTCAAACTAACAGTAGTTGGTTTTTTAACCATGAATCACTACTCTTATCTTTTAATATTTTGGCTTAGATCTTGAAAACCGTCATGATATTTATAGATAGGTAGAGACTGGGTCCAGCAAAAGTGATCAGCAATCTTGATCAGATTCCCCAAACACATTTTCCATTCAATGCAAATATGTTTTATTGCATCGAATAAATGATATCCTAAAATGCTAGGTGCGCGCTAGATTCCATGGGGGTTCATAGTGTATAAAACCGACGGATACGACCACGCACCGCTTTATTTTTGATGTTAGTGCAAGGTAGTCAGTATTCATTTTATTTTTTTTTCTCTAAATAAATATTTTTGAGTTGACCGGAGTTCCATTTTTTACTTTTAGACAATATAACATTTTTTCTTGTTTATATTGTCAAATTGACATGATCTGTTGTAAAAAATGATTACTATGATGTTTTTAAAAAAAAAAATTATCATCGATACATGTAGGCCAATTTTTATGTAATCAGTTAAGATTTTAGCTAAAAAGTATTCGTTTAATGAGCCTTTGATTAACATGACCAAAATCATTGTAGTTGCATGTCTTTTATCGTTTTATTAGCTCACCTGGCCCAAAGGGACAGTGTGGGCTTTTCCCATCACTTCGCGTCCGTCGTCTATCGTCGTCGTCCGTTAACTTTTACAAAAATCTTCTCATCTGAAACTACAGGGCCAAATTTAACCAATTTAACGTAAATCATCATTGGGGTATCTAGTAAAAAAAAACATGTCCGATGACACCGCTTGCAAACCAACATGACCGACATGGCTAAAAAA